CTATGCTCCATTGGGAGTAACAGATGTAAGTAATTAAGTATTTTTTAGTGATAATAATAATGAAGTAAAAGAGATGACTATCAATTTATTCAACCTTTGAAATAATATTCTACATAACTTCAATGAATAAATTATATTGGTCAATTTGTTTTGATTGGATTATTTATTCATTATTAAGGACTTAATATTAAATTGACTAAAAGTAAAATAAAAACACTATAAATCATTATACACCAATTAGAATACATAATATTTATTGATTTTTGATATTTGTTGTCGTTGTTGTTGTTGTTTTACTTCGTACACTTATCTTAACCATTATATTCGATTCAAACTAAGTAATTGATTTAATCAATACAATATACCTTAAATTATTGTTGCTTAGTGCTAAAAAGAAATAATAAGGAGGAAAAAATTTAAAAAAAGGGAACGAAAACTTTGTTTACATTTGATTAATCTCAAAGAATTTATCCCGATTTTGTGAAGCAATTAATTCAGTAGTATATTCAGATAGTTTTTATGAATAAAACATCATAAATATTTTACGGGGGTTTTCTTTGGAATATAAATGTAAGTTTAAATAATGACAATCTGAAATTCATTATTCATTTGTGTTTCTATTGTATAGTATTTACTAGTAATAAACAACTGATTATAAAATAATATTACATGCAATCGGTTCCCTTTATGAATTTAAATAAAGCCAGAACAAATATTGATGCAGAATAATGTGAATTTATGATAGTTTGTGGTTTCTCGTCAGCTGCTTACAACTAAATATGTATTAGAACTTTATATTGAGATAAGAAATAGTATGGTACAATTGACATAAGTAAAAGTAAGGGATTGGAATGACAAATGTTATCAATGATAACTATATATATGCAAGAACTGGTCCAAGGTTACTAGGTGTTAGAATCAAGGAAACATTAAGTATGGGTGGTGTAATAATGGAGTTCAGAGACAGATAAGATAAATTGTGTGATAATTTTAGGGGTAATATAGAATTTTTTTATTGAGATCATGAACCGATTGATGTCAGACCACTGTTGAAAACCTGGGAGCACTGGACGGCCGTTTTGTCCTATTGTGGGATGTCTCAGTAGTGTGCATTCACGATCCCGCCCTCGGGATTCGAACCCAGAGCCTTCAGTCTTGCGCATGAACGCTTAACCTACTTGGCCACTGAGCCGGCATTCAAGGGTGTTAGTGTCTAACGTCAACTATTCATGGAATTAAAAAATTGGTAAGATAGATTACGTAATAACTTAATAGAATTTGAAGAGTTCACATAATTTAAGCGAATCAAGTGAGCGTAAAGAATGATGATCTTTTCAGGATTATTGATTTTATTATTAAAGTAAGTAGTTTGCATAGTTTATTTTTTCTATAATGTTGGATTATATAATCTGGATGATTTAAATAAGAAGTTTTCATTATAATTACTGGTAAGCTTATCTATTTGACTTCAAAATGATTCTTTCGTGAGTAATATATCTTTGCTCTGATTACATGAGATTGCTTCCATTATTCATTTATATCTTTATATAATTTTATTCTATGATTGAATATTTTATTAGGTTGACCTCCGATCATATGATAAATTGACTAAGCTTGTATGGATAGGTAAACTGAATCGGTTTCAATATACTTATACAGTAGAAATTGATCTAAGTAGAACACTTCTAGTAATCCTCTAAAATGCTTCGACTTTTTTCAATCCAGAATTTTCACATTCTTGAATTGGAATTCCTGTCTATAGTTGCCTACGTCTACTGATATAGATGGTGATATTAAGTGTCGCTTAACTGTTAATATATATTCGGGATTGAGTAATTTTTTTTCGTTTAATATAATGCTTCTTACACTTAGAAGAATATATATTGTACATCCATTGTCCGATGATTTGTTCTTCTGTTTAACGTAAGTGTTACATATTTATTTACTTAATCGGCTTGTGAGTAACACTAATCTCAGAAAGGCTAAGAAAGCTTAGCAATTGACAATATAAGTTACAGAACGAAAAACCACCAATAGTGATTAGATTAGCACCAAAATTTTCATTATCTCAAGAATGACTGATAATTGAAAATTAACTTCATATTTCAAGTTTTCACTATCTTGACAATAACAAATAAAAGTTTTTTTGTCTGTGTGATTTACAAACTATGAAAAATGTAAACATACGTTTGGTTATTTCCAGGAAACAAAGAAAACATTGTAATTCCTTCAGAAGATTAACTGAGTTGTTGACTATTTGATTTAAGCATAATCATATGTGAAATGATGAGATCTACTGATTATATGAGTTTATATAGTTGAATTTAGTGAAAATATACATATCTTAATAGTATTAAGTAGCTAATCTGTTTTTATTATTGTTTTGAGGAAATTATTCATATGAATTTTAACAGTTACGTAATAAAATCCAGGACCTATTGGTGGATACCGGCTCAGTGGTCTAGTGGCTAAGTGCTCGTGCGCGAAACCAGTAGGTTCTGGGTTCGAATCTTGCAGGGGTCGAGGTCGTGGATGCGCACTGCTGAGGAGTCCCACAATAGAACGAAACGGCCGTCCAGTGCTTCCAGGTTTTCCATGGTGGTCTAGCTTCAATTGACTCATGATTTCAACTAGTGATATTCCTAAAATCTCCACAAAACCCCTTTTGATAATTATTGAGATATGTCCGTATTAACTTTAGAATAACTGACAAAAATAAACATTCTATTAATTTAATTAAGTATATAAGGTGATTAGTGAACGGATAAATGTTTTATGTTGATATCAGTATAGAGCGGTTTGTGGAGATAGTAGAATTTCCACAGCCTAAATCATGAACTGATTTTAACTATGCCACCACTAAAAACCAGGAAGCATTGAACAATACAATATTGTGAATTGATTGAATTTAGACATATACATTATGGGTCACTGAATTAGAAGTCTAGAGGTTAAGCACTCGTATGCGAGCCTGAGGGTCTTGATTTTAGATATACATTGATGAGATCGTGATGATACACTTCTAAGAAATCCTATACTAGGAAAAATTAGCTATCCAGTGCTTTTTGGTCATCGATGGTAGTCTAAGATAATTGCATTATTTAAACTACAGAAATAGTACAAATATATCAAAGATAAAATTCAACTATAAAAAATAAGTAATGATATTATTAGATGTGGAGATAGTACTAGCGTCTAATTATCTCAATTTTATTAACATGATCAGATCTTATTATCTAAGTTTCTAATAGTTTTGTAAAAAAAGTTTACAAAGCTTTTTAGTACTCAATAAAAATATTAAAACAGATTGTCACACAATTTACTGAAACTGTTTACGTACTGTAGCGTGGCGTCGAGTCGCGGTTGACTATGATCACCACTACAGTCAACCGATAATCCAACCCGTAGGCCAAATATCAGATAGCAGTTAATGGCTGTAGTCGAGATGTATTTGTTGGCGATCTTGTGGTATCGAAAGAATACCGAGATCGTGCCAAAGTAGTACAAGTGTGGTTACTGAGCGTAACCGAATTCGTGCAAGGCCACAGTCAACGAAAGGAAGTATGTCTTTAGTACAGTCAAACGAACAAGTACAGTGAAACAATCACTGATACAATTGTTTATAATAATAATAATTGTTTCCATTAAACCAATCGCGTTCTCTTCATAAAAGTAGGTCACTACAGTACTATCGAAGTTATTAAGGAAATTCAATCACGAAATGATTCAGTCTGATAATATGTTTGTATTTAATCAGAAAAGATATGTTCATGATAAATAAACATTTTTCTATCCATATAGATTGATACATAAGAATTTGAATTGATTGTTTGTTCCTCTAAAATTATTTGTTACAGTACCATGGTAAATAATATCGAAAACTAAGATTGATATTTCCTATTATAAGATTCAAAACTACATCATTGTATATTAATATTGAGTTAATAAAAAGACATCCATACACATTAAAGAAGAAGAATGTATTTGTAAAATTTCAGCAAAAGAATTTGAAGTAAATTCAACGTTTTGCCTGGCAATCTGGTCCAAGCATTTTCAAGGAAAATATAATCAGACAACAAAATTATCCGTTGGATTTACTTCAAATTCTTTCGCTGATATTTTACAAATACATATTCTTCCTCTTTAATATCTCACATTAACTCGGAGCTCAAATATTATGAAACTATCCGTTCAAATTTAGACGAAAGTTCTTATTTAAACACATCCATAGGTTCAATTTATGAGATGTCTTTCAATTTGGTAACTTTTGATATTGAGTAGCCAAGGCAAAGATAGTTGGTTAAACACTTTAATCAATATATGTGTATATATATTTTTTTATTGTTGAACACTTTACAATTGTGAGATCAATATTTTAAGCTGAGATCGAATATATAATGAATGCACTATGATTTATTTATGCATAAATTCATAAATGTTGATTGGATATTTATATGACTTGGATATTATCCGACATAGAAAAAAAAGTGAACGGGTGATTGAGAAATAAATCTAAATCAATTAAACATAAGGTAGTTTAAGAAAATCAATTTCATATTGATTTGTATGTTGTATAATTTTTTTTCTGGTTAGCGTTTTTTTAGTGAGTTAGTTTTCTACGGGATGGGGTCACTAACCCCATGCCCAGCCCTGCTCCTTTATCCAGGCTTGGGACCGGCAGTAGCTCCCGGAGGGACTCCATGCGGAGTTATGTTGAATATGTTGAATATAAGATATTACCTACTGATCTAGCATTTTAGTTTTTTCTCATCAATTGATCAAGATCCAACACATGACTAGAAATTGACCACCGTGCTTGGAATCATCAAATAAGGTGATTTAGTGAAAAAAAGTTTAGAAAACTTCATATTAAACAAAATTCATTTAAAACCTAACATTCATTACGTTAATAAATCTTCTAATGTATTAAACAGATTTTTCCATTAAACATCTTGTATGAATTATAAATTATTTTTTATTATCAGATTAATAGGTCAATAATGCCATCAGCAGATATTGATAGTTCACGACATTTGATAAGTCAACCTTTATGGATAAAAGATCCTAATTATTTTGATTTACAAAGTTCAACTAGATCTGATTATTTATGGGATCCAAGAACTTCACGCAAAACTGAACCTGAAGGAATTCGTGCACGCAGTTTCAAGCCAAAAGTAAGACAAAACAGTATAATAATATCTTTTATATATATATATATAGCCCATGAGCTGAGCATAAATGAAGGAATATTTCGAATTGTAGAATTAATTTCCATCATTAACTGGATTCTTAAATCTAGTTATTAGTAAATGTCATAGATTATATGTAAATTCACATAATTATAAATTGCAATCATACATGATGCATGGAAGTAGTGTTAAAGCTGTATTTAGTGAACTCAGTCTCAGTTTTGTATTTTCACGTTTCAGTTCAACCTTGTATACATAAAGAAATAATACAATATCACCTTTTTGTATTTTAGAAAGTTGTCTTTAGTTTGACACTTATATGAGCAATCAGTAACTGTTTTGTTAGAAACCTTAATTTTAATCACAGAAATGATCAAATCTAATATCATTTTATTTGTAATTTTAGTAATATGTTGTATAATATTGTCAGATGATTATCTGAAATGTTATGAGATGATCGTGAGGTTATTATCCAGGAAAGAGAACTGACAATCCAAAGAATATAAATGATTGAGGGAAACAACTCCTAAGGACTGAGAAAACCACATATATGTTTATTAAAATAATACACTTTTATTGAAGCTAAAAGAAAAAAATAGGAAGAACTGTAAGCTAAATATAATTGTAAGCGCTCGCACGCGAGACTGATAGGTCCTAGGTTCGAGTCTCGCGAGGCGGGATCATGGACGCGCACTGCTAAGGAGTCCCACAATGGGACGGAACGGCCGTCCCATTCTTCTAGGTTTTCCATGGTGGTCTAGCTTCAATTAACTCATGATCTCAACCATTGAAATTAGTATAGTATACACATAAACCCTTCTCATATTAATTGTACTGTCAATAAGCAAGAATTTCTCAAAATTCATAGATTTAGCACTAAGGATATTCATTAGTTCTCCATTCACTATAAACTATATAGCTTCAGGAAACATTGTAGATAATTTAGATTCTCAGGAAAACCGTTAAAACTTGAAAGATTAATTTTCACATTTTTATCACTATGCTACAAACAGAATTTTCAATTGATAGCAAATTAATACAATATAATCAAATGATAATTATTTCCTAGACTGAACTTAACCACTAGACCACTTAGCGGGCATCCAACGGTGTTAATGTCTAACTTCAACTAATCCGTGAAATTGAGCGACACATCCACCATATGATTTAATTTTCCTCATATTGCATTTGGTAATAATAATACAATTGTCATTTGAATTCACAGGAGGCAACATAAAATAAACTTGTAGGATATAATAAATCATACGAATAATGAACTGATTAAGAATAAGGGCGAAAATCATTGTTCAAGATGTATCTTACCATTATTATTATTATTGTTATTATTATTATTATCGATTTTTCATTCCTGATGCTTTTATAGATTTATGGCTTAAGAATTATAGAATTTAACATCTGATAATTTCTTCATGTATTTGGTTGATTGAAATCATTCCCCCATAGTATGAATAGTTTGGATAATGGTTAGCAAGGTTGTACATGATAAGTTAAGAGTTGTAGTGTCGGTTACTATGTTAAGGCCACATAACTTATTCAAGCTTCTAGACAGGTCAGTTTATCCATTCTTCTTGAATCAAGAGCGGTATTGCCATTCAACGCGAGAACGTTAGCTGCCAGGTACTGGAGGACAGCTACCAAATTAACAAGGTCAAAACGTGACTCAAGAAAAATGGATAAATTGGCCTATCCAGAATTTAGAATAAGTTACACGGGGTTGACATAGTAACCGACACTATAGAGTAGACAGAGATCTATATCATTTGCTAGAAAATCCGTTATTTTCATAGTTTTACAATTTTTAAGTGATAAAAAGAACAATTTAATATAGACTAACAATAATAAGATATAATGTATCACTATTTTTAGTAAGTTATCTAATACCTGTCATTATCAAACTTTTGAAAATGTTGATGCTTCCTGTGTGATTGAAACCCAAACCAGATAGCCTTACATTTTCAAATGTTAACATTGAGCTACTCAGGCCATAATCGTAAAACTAAGATATTTACAACTGGTTGGTCATCGAGTAGTGACCATCCAATGTATCACCACAGTATTTGGGGTATCAAGTCACCTAAACTAGTGGCCATTTAATCGATGGAATTTTGTCATTATTATAGGAACTAGACAGATATGAGACTGGTCACCACTCAATTACAAATCAGTGATATAGGTCCATGGTGAATCGTGATTGTTGATCATTGTATACAGGCAGATGCTCATATTCTGTCATTTTTGATATACCACTCTTAATGATTTAACTTAACATGTATTATTATCTGTTAACAATACAAATAAGGTTTCAGCATACAAAAGTACAATTAATTGGGATTTAGGTGAGAAAGCAAAATCTATCTCATGTGTACATACACAAGTCAATCCAAATAAATTTCAGAATCATAGTTATTCGTTGACTAGTTTATTAGATCAGCAACCAAGAGATTGGCTTATTGATGATTATGATTCGAAACACAAAGGATGGCGACGGACAGATCAGATAATAAGAAATAAAGAATCATTTACAAAAAATTCATTATATCGTGAACAGTTCCCGCCAAAGGAAGCTGGTAAGCAGATAGTAAATATTATCAAGATTATTTTTATTTCCATAATACTACCTACTTGGGAAAATGTTTTGATGAGTATTAAGAACTTTTATAAGTAATTCCAGGGAATTAGTTTAGTTTTTGTTACAAATAATCACTATAAATGAGTGAGACATAATAACAAAACATTTATTCAGTACTCTACGTATTTTGATGGTTTACCAACAAATGATTTGGACTCTTTCATACTTTCTGTTTTTCTTTTAACTTGTTGAGTAAAGCTAAGTCTATTGGCACATTCATGAAGGCCTTATGAAATTTATGCTTGCTCTAATTGATATTGATTCTATGCATACTGTTTCAAAGTAGTAAATTAGAACGATGTACATTTTAAGTGTTAATCAGTTAAGAATAATTTTAAATCGGTTTTGTTAAATTAAAACAGAACCAAAAACCTAAGCTACAATAAAAGAAACAGTTTTTTAATAGAAAGAGATGGAAATAGTCTGTTATTAGAACAATAATTTCGAAGTTGTGGTTGAAATGGCTTTAAAAGTGAAGAATTCTATCACTGATCATATTATTGGTTGTTCAATACTCGAATATCACTGGTTGATTTATAACTTTCATTTATGGTATTTACAAAGAAATAAACTGAATAAAACTGGAAGATTTAGTCAAATTCTCTACAACTATAATAAACAGTTCATTTGACCAGAGCTGGAACATTTTGTTATTAGTCAACTTAAATGGAAACAGGAATAAGAACAAGGTAGTTGTTGAATTACATCTTTTTGATGGAGTTTTTTTCTCTGAGCTTGATGGTTTAGTCGTGGAGCTTTCATCGTTCTTCTGAACGACATTATCAGGACAAAAGTTAGATAGAAGTGAACTCTTCGATGTCGTTCAGAAGAACGATGAAAGCTTCACGACCAAACCATCCAGCTCAGAGAACAAACCTCCATCAAAATCATCCACCTGAGCTGTAAATCTTCTCTACCATCTTCAAATTACATCTTTTTGGAACTTTCATTTTAATCTGTCTACCATCAGTTGAATAACAGACTGACTATTTAAAGTACACAGAGTATCATTCATTGACAACACCGAATAATAAATCAAGGTATCTATATTCGAATAGGATGAAAATAGAACTTGGAAATTAAAACAGAATCTCCTTATTCATTTTTTTACTTATTTCCTGATCTCAATTAAGAAATCGCAACTCACTGAACAAATTAAAGATCGAGCGTAGTGATTTGTTTCCAGAGTTCGAATCGTCACAAAAATGTTTTGTTCTGTTTTTTCGATAAATAACAATAAATAAATACCAATCTGTCATAAACTGTCATTTAAAACTTAACGTTAACACATTTTATAATCTCTTTTTGGTGTCTTAAAGCGTAAGGAACTTGTTGTGGTCGGTATTCTATATTATCCTTAAACTTCGTATACTGTTCATCTTGATAACTATTACTAGATAATGCTCCCAACGGTGTTTAAATCAGAAGACGAATACGAAGCGTTGATCACGTTTATTATTGCACCATGAATAGGTCACTAAAATCACATGTTCACGAAGCAAGAATGAAAGGCTGGTGCCGAAAAGCAAGCGAGAAAGCGTGCAAGTCAAATGAACAGGATTAAAATGTGCACGTGTATATACATAGGAAAATGAAGAGTCATCGAATCATTTAACCGTTTAACACTCAAGTTAACAGAATGATTATGTGCGTAGGCGGTAAGCAATGCTCAAACATACATATTCATACAATGGTATAGATAATTTGTTATTGTACGGTTGATTCTATCCGTCAAATAATTTAACAACAGAGCTTAATCAAATCAAATGTGAACAAACTCAAATGTACGTCAGCTGCTCTAAGATTTTATTTGATTATTTCAGTTTATAGTAGACATTTTATTGAGTATAGTAAATTTGCTAGTGTTAAATTGTTATAAATGTTCGTTATGTGATAAAAATTGTTTATTCAGTGCTCCAAAGTCTTTATCAGTTTATTTATTAGATCGCTTGAAATTTAATTTCAAGAAAAGGCCCTGAGATCGAGGAATAAAGTCATTAATCTACGTGATTCTAGATCAAATTTTATAGGAAAGTATTAAAGTATTCTCAACTCAGTATCAACATCCTTTTATTCGGTTTCATAGAAATTTAATTTATACATAGTAACTTATTGAATGAATACATTTCTTATTTACATTACAGTTCATGTACAACCGGTAAAACCTGTTCATATACCATTAAAAACTTCAGAGAAATTTACTGATAAATCTGTTTATACTGATGAATATATATGGCGACCAATATTAATAGATTATAATCAATTAAAACATCATAAACTTTGTCTTCCTATTGAAATGATCCCTTCAAAGCCCAGAGATGAATCAAATATGATAAATGTTGGCGAAAATGTCATGTCAATGCCTGGTGCCAATCCAAACTTATTTAAAAGTACAACTTACAGAGAGGATTTTCAAAGACATGCATTGACTAGCAAAGAACCAGTTATGTGTAGGAAAATTGCGCCTGTGATCAAATTATCTAAAGTGAGGAATATGTTGTATTGAAAAGTTAAATATAAGGGCATTAATGGATAATCGTTTTCTGAAAATATGACATCACTTTCTTTAATGAGATATTCAGTCATAAAACTGGTCAATATGCTCGTCTCTAAAAATACCAGGTCTAAATATTTTTAGGAGTCAATATCATCGAGAAGTGAATGAAACGTCTTGGAGCTATTCAGCATTGAACTGCTTATAGAAGACCCAATATAATTTTACATATCTCATGGCTATCGTCTTACTGTTAAAGTATCAATTTTGCCTACTATATCAGTAACATTTTAAACATTCATATAATTAGTAATAGAAATAGTATATTTGTGAAACATTAATGAGTAAAGTGCTACATTTCTAACGTTGTGTGACCCAGCGTAAGTCACTTCCTTAAATAATAAAAATAAGTAAACTGATTAAGTTAACACAAGCTTAAAAAGTACAAAGCGAACAAACAAAATATATTTAGTACAGCCAAAATTATAATGAGGGATTTATACGCTCAATAGGAGCGGCCATGTGATCCTCCGTGTTTCTGATTGTCGTTAATCTATTCATGTCCTGTATTACTTACTTACGCCTGTTACTCCTTGTGGAGGAGCATAGGCCGCCCACCAGCATTCTCCAACCAACCTATCCTAGGCAATCCTTTCCAGCTCCTCCCAGTTGTTATTCATCCTTTTCACGTCTGCTTCTATTTCCCGACATAGTGTGTTATTTGGCCTTTCACTTTTCTTCATCCCTTCAGGATCCCAAGTCAGGGCTTGCCACGCGATGCAGTTTGGTGATTTGCGTAATGTGTGTCCTATCCACTTCCAAAGTCATTTCCTAATTTTCTCCTCAGATGGGAGCTGGTTCATCCTCTTCAACAGAAGGCTGTTGCTGATGGTATACGTCCAATGGATGTTGAGTATCTTGCGTAGACAGCTATTTATAAATACTTGTACATTCTTGATGGTGATTGTTGTAGTTCTGGAAGTTTCAGCTCCATACAGTAGAACTGACTGTCATGACGTTGGTATTGGAGATTATGACTTTGATATTAGCTTGTAGGCAGTTGTTTTGAGTTCCATATGTTCTTCAGTTGTAGGAATGCTGTCCTTGCTTTGCCAATCCTCGCCTTCACGTTTGCATCTGAGCCTCCTTTTTCATCGATGATGCTTCCCACGTATGTGAAGGACTCTACATCTTCCAGAGTTTCGTCATCAAGAGTGATTGGATTGCTGTTCTCCGTGTTGTATTTGAGGACCTTGGTTTTCCCCTTGTGTATGTTGTGGCCTACTGATGCAGAAACTGCTGCTACACTGGCTGTCTTTATCTGCATTTGTTCATGTGTATGCAATAGGAGGGCTAGGTCATCTGCGAAGTCCAAATCGTCTAATTGATTCTGAGCTGTTCATTGTATGTCATGTTTGCCCTCAGATGTCGAGGTCATCATAATCCAATCAACCACCAGAAGAATAAGGAAGGGAGAGAGTAGACAGCCTTGTCTGACTCCAGTCCTTACTTGGAATGCATCTGTCAGCTGTCCTCCATGCATGACTTTGCACTTTAGTCCGACGTATAAGTTCCGGATAATGTTGACAATCTTCTCGGGAACTCCGTAGTGTCGAAGAAGTTTCCATAATGTTCTCCTATCTACACTGTCAAGTGCCTTTTCATAATCAATGAAGTTGATGTATAGTGACGAGTTCCACTCAACGGACTGTTCGACGATGATCCGTAGTGTTGCCATTTTGTCTGTGTATAACCGATCCTTACGGAATTCAGTCTGTTGATCACGAAGTTGAGCGTCTACTGCATCTTTCATCCGGTTAAGCGACACTGTCGAAAACTTTCCCTGATATTGACAGTAGTCTGTCCCATATGGAATCACATGTTTTTACTAGAGTCCTCTGTCCAAACATTTAGTAGAAATATGAGAAAGACTATTTTACGAAACTTTTCTAAACTGCTGAATAGTTTCTCAGTCTATATCAAATTTACTTTTGGAAGTAAAAAATTAACGTAGGGGTCTACCATCTTTAGACTATTTAGTTAAAAGAATTCAAAGAGAAGTCTAAGATCAATTATCTATCGCAAGCTGACATAATCAAATAGATTCATGAATGTCAACTCAGCACAACCACTGAATACAAACATTGTTTTGGCTCTAAATCTATTCATATGAACCTCCATAATCATTACATCATTACAGGAAAACAGAATATATACATATATATATGTCTTCATTGGTTGTCTAAATATGATTGGTTTATGATTTCAATGAAATTTAACAATCTCTACAACTATATACTGATTATTTTCTATCTATTTATCATGTTACTTTCATTATATATTTTCTTTATTTCCATAAGATATTAAAACCACCATATGAAATTCAAGAATCATATTCTACTATAAATTCAAGATATCAATATGATTATGGTAGTTCAATAAAACATCGTCATTTATCGAATCATTTGCCTGCAGCTGGTATGACAACATTTAATAAACCAATTAAAAGTCAAATACAAACTTATTCATTTAATTACGATAATGATCCTTTATTTATGAAAGAACAAGTTAATCATCCAAAGAATTCCATTCAAAACTTTCATTCAAATGTAAATTTATCACAACGACTATATTTACCAGATATCATTGAACAAGTAGAAAATAAATGGCCATATTTAGAACATAAAAATGGATGTTTCTATTCAACGAAACCATTAGAAGGAAGTTTTTAATTAATAAAAAAAACTGATTCTTATTCTTTATTTTGTTTCTATAACATTTTTTTTACAACATAAATGTTGATAGATAGAGAAATAAAAATGATCGATATATTCGGTTAAATATAAATGTTACTTAGTTACTATTTTTTGTTTTTGTACTTAAGTATGAACAGGCAATATGTAGCGAAATACTGTTTTATCTCAATGTATTTAGTTAAATTTTATTTCAGTTGTATCAATGGAGAAAAAAACAGTTGACAGTTGAATTTAATCAACATAAAGAAGTGAACATGAATAGATTTACTATGTATCAAAGTAAATAAGTGAATGATTTGATAGCATGATTCCATGTGAATAGATTTGGAACAATTAGATATGAGAATACATCTACATGAATATTCTTATTTGATACATTGATTTTCCTTGAATATTTTGCATAAAGATGATGAATGATTCAGGGATGATAAAAGAAAACAGGTTAAGTGACTAAATCATCAAAAAGGAAGATGAAGATAATATTAAAATGCGATACAAAGAGGATCATTAGCAGTTTACCAGCATTCTCCAACTAAATCTGTCCTCCGATTTCCTTTCCAACTGTTTGTAAGTGCTTTCTATGCTCTTCAAGTCTGCCTCCAGTTACTTGTGCCTTGAGGATCCTAATTTATGTTTAATCTCGTGATGAAGTTTTATGGTTTTTGAGACGTACGTTCAACTCACTTCTACGGTATTTTCCTAATTCGCTCCTTATCTATAAGTTGGTTTTATCTTTTCCACAATAGGTTGTTACGGACGGTCAACGAATATTGAGTATCTTGAGTAAACAATTGGTTATAAAAACCTGTACTCATTGATGACGGTTGTAGTAGTTCTTCAAGTTTCAGCTCTGTACAGTAGAACTGTTCTGATGTGAATTGAAGATTCTGACTCTGATGTTGGCTTGGTGACCTATGTTTTGAGTTGTATATATTCTTGAGTTGTAGGAATGCTATCCTTGTTTTGCGAATCTGTGCCTTCAAATCTGCATAGAAATCCCCTATTCATCGATGATGAAGTTCAAATACTTAAAACGTTCCACCTCTTCCAGAGCTTGCCCAACATGTGTGATTGTGTTGGTACTCTTTTCGGGTTCTACTGTTACATTGTGAATGTTGAAGTTTACCACTGCAGTGGCTACTACATCACTGGCTGTCTTCACCTGCATTTGTTGGTGTGTATGGAATAAAAGAACTAGGTCGTCTGCGAAATCCAATTCGTCTAGTTGCATCTTAACTGTCCACAGCATTCCGTGCTTCGTCTGAGATTTGTGAGCCGACTGCCAGAAGAAAGAGAAAGGGGGAGGGTTATCAGCCTTGTCAGACACTGGTCTTCACTTGAAATGCATCTGACAGCTATTTTCCATGCACAACATTGTAATGTAGTCAATCGTATAAATTCCGGATGATGTTGATGATTTTCTCAGCTACTAACAGCATAGTGTCGAAGATGGCTCCAAAACGTTCTCCTATCCACACTGTCAAATGCCTTCACATAGTCAAGGATGTTGATGTATAGTGACGAATACCACTCAATTGATTGGTAACCATGGGATTCATTTTGTGCCTTACGCAGTTATCTCAAACAGTGCTCCAGAAAGAGATGATGGTCTTGGTGATTCGTTGAGCCTACTCACTTGTTCACAAAAAAGGACTTAGATTGTCTTAATGCTTATGATCAGATAATACACGTAGACGGATATCAGAAATAAATTTTAGTAAATCAGTTCACTTGTGATAACTACAGGGGCATCACTCTTCTCTCAATACCGGGAAAAGTCTTCAACAAGGTATTGTTAAACAGGATGAAGGACTGCGTAGACGCCCAACTTCGGGACCAACAGGCAGGATTCCGTAAGGATAGATCGTGTACAGACCAAATCGCAACTCTACGGATCATTGTGGAACAATCAATTGAATGGAACTCATCACTCTACATCAACTTCATTGACTACGAAAAGGCATTTGATAGCGTGGACAGACCAACACTATGGAAACTTCTTCGACACTACGGCGTGCCTCAGAAGATAGTCAATATCATACAGAACTCATATGATGGATTACACTGCAAAATCGTGCATGGAGGACAGTTGACAAAGTCGTTCGAAGTGAAGACCGGTGTTAGGCAAGGTTGCTTACTCTCACCCTTTCTCTCTCTCCTGGTGATCGACTGGATCATGAAGACGTCAACGTCTGAAGGGAAGCACGGGATACAATGAACATCTAAGATGCAGTTGGACGATCTAGACTTCGCAGACGATCTGGCCCTTCTATCCCAAACGCAACAACAGATGCAGGAGAAGACGAACAGTGGAGCAGCAGCCTCAGCAGCAATAGGTCTCAATATACACAAAGGGAAAAGCAGGATTCTCCGATACAACACAGAATGCACCAATCCAATCACAATTGACGGAGAAGATTTGGAAGATGTAAAAACCTTTACGTATTTGGGCAGCATCATTGACGAACAGGGTGGATCTGATGCAGATGTGAAGGCGCGGATCGGCAAAGCAAGAGCAACATATTTACAACTGAGGAACATCTGGAACTCAAAACAACTGTCAACCAACACCAAGGTCAGAATTTTCAATACAAATGTCAAGACAGTTCTACTGTATGGGGCAGAAACCTGGAGAACTACGAAAGCCATCATCCAGAAAATACAGGTGTTTATTAACAATTGTCTACGCAAAATACTTCAGATCCGTTGGCCGGACACTATTAGCAACAACGTACTGTGGGAGAGAACAAACCAGATCCCAGCGGAGGAAGAAATCAGGAAGAAGCGCTGGAAGTGGATAGGACACACATTGAGGAAAGCACCGAACTGCGTCACAAGACAAGCCCTCACATGGAATCCTGAAGGTCAAAGGAAAAGAGGAAGACCAAAGAACACATTACGCCGAGAAATGGAGATAGACATGAGAAAAATGAACAAGAATTGGATGGAATTAGAAAAGAAGACCCAGGACAGGGTGGGTTGGAGAATGCTGGTCAGCGGCCTATGCTCCATTGGGAGTAACAGGCGTAAGTAAGTAAGTAAATCAGTTCACTACTTGTAAGTAATAAGAACGAACTAAATAAATAATCTTCAAATCCAACTGTGTGCTTTAGTGAAAATAGTTAAAAAGAAACTTAGGAATTTATGCCCAATAATTTAACAAAAAATAACCAAAAATGAAATATAAATCATTATTAAGAGAAAACTAGAACGAAAAGAGTCACTATTATTAAAGATATCTGTCAAAATGAAGTAATTTTATGATGTACTGTTGTTTAAAATCAAAAACAGAAACAAGAAAATGATTACAGAGATATTATCCAGCTAAAAATGAGCTCAAAGTGATCCTAGTCGAAATTAACAATTATGAACATAAATATGAGTTGGCTATTGAAATAACTCCAAATTCCTTTCAATAATAAAATTTTAAGTTATTATTAAATTGGTCTTCTACTTTCATTTGGTATTGTTTGCTTGTATCTTCCCATTGTTGTTTTGGATGGCCTCGACATTGCTTTAAGTCACAGGTTTTATAAGCATAGATGGATGGTGTCTAGCAGTGGAATCTAGAACGCGCGTTTTGTTCAATTTGATACTTGTCAGCTGGAAGTACCTGAATCCTAGAGTTGATGTTAATCAGCTTCTTACTAAAACTCTTAGTTTTATGCCTAATGTAACTGTGATTTCTTGTGTGTCGTAAACTTGTATTTTGTACAGACAATCTTGTAAGTTCACAAGCTTAGATAATATGAAAGAATGCAAGGTATATAACTAGTCTTCTTAGTGTTTTGACTAATAGATTGCTAGAGCGGTAGGAATTTTACATTGCGTATATATATATTAGCTGCATTAGCCGACTCATTGTTAGTAGACATAAATACCAATCCGTAGTTTTATACTACTTTGAGATTGTTCAATATGAATTCAAATATATTATTTTTAGGTCCCATCATCAACCTGAGATAGAAAATACAAACCATCGCATTTCTACTTAAAGGTCAGATATGATTGTAATCACTTTGAAACTAGGTTTTTCAGTTCAGTCTTCAATAGAGTCGTGGTTGAACACAGCAGTCTTTTACATACTTCGTATCTTAACCTTAGGCATTTTATTTGTTGATACTTGATTTACTGATAAATAAAATGAATTAAGACAATTAAACAATCATTTGTTATTTGTATTAACAAAAATCCCTTTTCTTGTTTTTTAAATCAATCTAACTTTGGGACAATGTTCTAATGAAACTCCTATATGATTGATTATCATTATCCGTAAATAATTATCATTACGGATATTATCGTTTTTCTCTTTTTGTGGGATAAAATCTAAACTTTATACATGTTTCCTATATTTTATTCAATGTTAGATAATGATTTAACTTTTATCAAAACAAAAAACATGTTCATGTTGTATTTGTAAAGTTAGTGAAGAAAAATCTCTAGATTCTGATGATGATAATTTTATTCAGTTTTTGTAGATCATTAAGTTTCTTGATTGAGATCATGAACCGATTGATGTTAGATCACCATTGAAAACCTGGAAGCACTGGCCGACCGCTTCGTTCTAGTATGAGACTTCTCAGCAATGCGCATCCACGATCCCGCTTGTGGGATTCGAACCCAAGGCTTTCAGTCTAGCTTGCAAACACCTAACCTCCAGACTACTGAGCTGGCATCCAACGGTGTTCATGTCTAACCTCAACCAATCCACGAAATTGCACCACCGTCCACCATTGTCTCCAATGAGTTACTATCTCGCAACAGACTCGGTTGAACTCCACTAGTCACTGCTTCTCACTAGAACTCTGGGAATTACCTCAAGACGCTAGTCACTAATGAGCACATAGTAGTTATCAGTATAGGGTTGTAGAGATTATGTTTTTGTATTGAAATCATGAACCGATTGATGTTAGACCACCATTGAAAACCTGGAAGCACTGGACGACCGTTTAAGTTTAATGGATTATTGGGATTATGGAAGTGTTTCAACATGTTTTGTATTTTTGAACTAAACCATCTTCACTTGAATAATCCGTTTATCACAAATGAAGTATATATATATATATATATATATATATATATATATATATATATATATATATATATATATATATATATATATATATATATATATATATATATATGTGGAATAACATTAAACATTTACATATAGACTTTCATAAGAAATAGTATTGTGAAATTAAATTAATAGGTTATGAAATATGATTAATTCATGATCAAAACGAAGTGTAACAATTTAATTATATTAAACATAGAGGATATAGTCAAGGTTTTATTGTATTAAAACCATATCTTTCAAGGTCTTAACTACCTGATACAAAAACGATTGATACTGAACATTTAAATGGAATCTAAAATTATGGTTATTAAAAATGTACCAGTTTCAAGCGATATACTTAAACAGTCAAAATCATAAAACTAGTCTTAATAATTCCTTTTAGGAACAGATTTAATTATTTGTTAACTAATGACTGACTTCAAGATGGATTTCGGAAGTAAATTTATGAGTGATCATGTTAAAGCATGTCATAATTTTCTAGGGTACTTTATTCCTTCTACATTAGACCATCAAGAGTGATGAACTAATTAAAGTAGAAAATGTATGTACTAACCAGAACTTTCGTTTTCATCACATACTATTATGATGTAGCTATTATGTACATGTAAATGAGACTAGATGGTGGTTGGAGGTAGTCAACAGGAAACCCTGGACCCGGGTTTCATGCTACTTGGCACTTGTCAGCAAGGTATACCTGTAATCTTGAGGGAACTGGTGCTCCCTGGCGGATTCGACCCCGTGTCACGCAGCTTCACAGTCAGAGACGTTACCATTGAGCTATCCGAGCCGTGACTGACCTCCTGTAGGACTGAGATGTAATCACAATTGATTGATCACTGGGTGATGACCAATGTCATGTGCCTCAAGTCCTTATTTAGTGCAGTGTCGAGTCACCTAGACTTGTGGCCACATTGCAACATGGTCGACAGTATTCGATCTGCACTAAATAAGGACTTGACACACATGACATTGATCACCACCCAATGATCAGTCAATTGTGACATGTAAATGAATTAATAATGGAGATGTTATAGATAAAACGTTTTCTACTCTCTAATGGTAATAATAAACTAAAATTTATTCAATGACATCATTATCGGTGTAAAGAATAAAGAAAAACTTAATAATAAATATAATTTTGGTTATGTCCCAATGAGTAGAAAACTTGTATTTCTGATGTTTCGTGACTTAGTGTAAACCACTTCTTCAGAGTAAATAAATAACCAAAGTAGATTAAATTGTATTATATACTCTAGATAAGTGGCCTACATTAGGTCAAGTAACATCAAAAATATAATTTTTCTACTCATTAAGATGTAATAAAAATATATTTATTTCATACATATAGTTCCCTTCATTATTTTAAACAGAGCAAGAACAAATATTGATGCAGAATAATATGAATTCATTTCATTTCGTTAGGTTCTCATGAACTGCTTATAACTTATACATAAGAGTTAATTCTGTCGGAATCTTCTCTACATCATGATACACATATTCATCCTAAATCACCCACTTATGTATAAGTTGTAAGTAGCTGATGAGAACCTAACAAAATAAAATGAATTCATATTATTTGACATTAATCTTTTTTCTTGCTTCCTTTAATATATTTATCATTCACTTTCTATCCAATCCTCAAATGATTTGAATCCATCAGGTTCAACCTTGACATCGATACCTATAAAGAAAAATTTAGTTGTTTCAATTTCATCAGTAAACTATTTCTAGTACAATGTTTCAGGGAGAAAAAGACTAATTTATTCAATAGACTGTGGATTCTGAATCATTTTTTAAAATTACATTCAGTAAACTAAATTATAAAGTAGTTGAATAACCAAGTTTCTTCGTAAAAGTTTCTTTGATCTATAAGATTAATCTGAATTTAAAATCATAAATGTCCATTAGTTATTTTAACTATACAGAATTTGAAGAAAAAAGAGGATGTTAATAAGGTAATGAAACAGAGAACAAAAACACTTCATAATTTTAACCAGTCTACAACTTACACCTGAACAACAATCCTCATATGTATTGTTTTAATGAAAGAATTTCATACACACATAGTTTGCTTTATCATTTTGGAAAAAGAAACTTTATTCATGCTCACTGGAAAGGACTTTAATAGATTATAATTCAAACTTGTATTATTTAACTAATTATAAATTCATGAAAATCTTAGCCTATAATGACACTAGATAGTATTTGCTTTCTCCTTTTGGATAATATAAAAATGATCTTGTGCGCATTTTTCTCATAATTGTTTTCAGCATAATCAATAAATTCACTTAATATTGTTTTACTTGTATTTTTACATTGTTATTTAGGACTGTAATTAATCAGTCTATTATTGGCATGTATGCATACTTTGAGTACTGCCTTAATTCACAAGCATTATAAGCTTGGATATATAGTGGCTAGCAGTGAAATTCAGGACACGCGTTTCATTCTATTAGGGACTCGTCAGCTGGATGTACCTGCATCTCAGAGTTGATATTCACTCTGAGACTGGAATCTAGTACCATTTGCTTTAAACACCATCGCGTTATCCACTCAGCTACTGAGTCCTGATATCCAATTGCTTGCTCAATGGGGTGGATTTAAATTCACTTGGCGTTGTTTTGCTTGTATCTTCCTATTGTAGTTCAGTTAACTGGAATTAAGACCGTAGTAAACAGTTAAGAAGAAATATATGATATAATATGCTCTCTTAAAAAGGACAACCACTTCAATCACTGTTAAATAATCGATAAGAAAGTAAAGATAATCATAATTTAGTAGCTGTAAACAACGAAATGGGTTATTATAATCATTGTCATTGGGTATTCTTTGAATCCTCCCACAAGTAAAATAGAAGCGTGACTAGGTTTACTGAAAAAGAGGAATTTCCTGTTAAGATACTTTTCAGTTTACTGAAGTCACAACTACTGAACAGTTCATGCTAAATGAATGAGCGTTGGTTTTACCTCCTAGAGTAGTGAATGCTACTCACAAGGATGTTTGTAAGTAGTATGTATCTGAACGTGGTATCAAAATTGCGATAATTCTGAACAGTTTCAGTGCATTAAAAGCACGGCATTGGTAGAACACTTGAAGAATAGGCAAGAAGACAGTTCAATTTGTAGAAAATATCAAATAAGTAAATGGTTGATTGAAGGCTAGGTACATGTATTGCGTAAATACTTTGTAACCTCGCAATAAACACATTCTTCCTATGGTGGAGAAGATTTGTAGCTCAGGTGGATGATTTTGAAGGAGTTTTGTTCTCTGAGAACAAAACAAACAAAAAGAATTGTTCCTACTTACAGTCTTGTTTCACACTACTTTCCCACAATATATCTATTATTTTAATATTTAAATCACCTTCATAAAGAAGTCATGATTGACAATTCTAAGCATGAAAATGATATAAAAAATAATAATTTAAGGAAGCAGTCACACACGCATCGTAAAACGCTGAAATTCTCTTTTAAACAAATTTATTCAAACGATTTATGCTTTAAATGTTATGAATCTGAAATTAGATATGATGAACAAAATGTGAATAGCTAAATAGTTTCTACTCTCGTTTGCGTAGCAACTTAGTAGTAGTAGTAGTAGTAGTAGTAGTAGTAGTAGTAGTAGTAGTAGTAGTAGTAGTAGCAGTAGTAGTAGTAGTAGTAGTAGTAGTAGTAGCAGTAGTAGTAGTAGTAGTAGTAGTAGTAGTAGTAGTAGTAGTAGTAGTAGTAGTAGTAGTAGTAGTAGTAGTCAAACTAATACTATCGTGTATTTACACTTGTATCTATAGCCCGTAATGTTAAAAAGATTAAAAGTTTCATAAACTGTATCCTTCAATGTTATTTCAGCTTGAAACATTTTATCAAAAAAGGTAGCTATATAGACAGCTAATGTGGCCGGAAACTAACTAATCCGAAACATATAAATAATTATGTATTAAATACATGTGGGTAGTCAAGTTTAACCAACTAAAAACAGCATAAATATAGATATGAGACAGATTCATAAGCCCTATCAATCAGCCTATAAGGTTTACTTGAGTTATAAACTCAAAGTACATGTAAACAAAATGTTTACGATCATACAAGTACACTTTTGAGGAGAGAAAGTATAAACAAATGTACCACAAATAAATGTTTTACTGTTTACAATAAACGTTTCCTACATGAAATATGTGGCTAATATATTTAGGTTGTTTAATAATATATATACTGTATTAGAAATATTTTGTTTGTTTTTCATGCTTCTTCGGCTTCATTTCCATCTTGGTAACCATCAGGGAAATGTCAGCTTCTGGTTCTCTGTAGTGTAATCTGATGAGACCCATGTTGATTTGTGCATGCGTTCGCGGAGAAATATTGTGCTCCCTATAACCTTTCTGTTGAAAACCTGTCACCATTCTCGTTCGTTTCTTCCGGTCAGTCCATGTCTTCCGATGATATCTTCATGCCCGGTATTGTCCATCTCGACTTTTGCGTTTAGGTCTCCCATCACGATGGTCAGGTCGTTTCCTGAGCATTTCGCTATGATCGATTGCAGTCTCTTATAAAACTGATTTTCATCGGCATCATTGCTATCATTGGTAGGTGCATAACATTCGATAACATTCATTATGATTACCTCCTTTGTTTTGAAGGATGCTTTGATGATCCTGGATCCATGAGATTTCCATCCTATAAGTGCTTTACGTGCTTCTTTGGACAGCATAAGTATAACTCCTCGTGTGTACGAAGCATTTTCTTCTTCATGACCAGAGAACAACAGCGATTTTCCCGAATCTAACCATTTCCATCCAGCTCTAGTCCGAAGGGTTTCAAATAATCCGAGCACTGCCAATTTGTGTCTCCTCATTTCCACAGCTATTCGACTGGTCGTTCCGGCCTCCCGCATTGTCAGGACATTCCATGTATCCATGTTAATTGTTCCTCTGGTGTTCAGGAGAGGCGTCAGACTCGTGACTTCTGGAGAATCTAGGCTTCACCATGAGGCATCATAATTTTCTAAAACGGAGATCTTTTATCTTCCAGGGCATAGTTTAAATGGTTTAAATGACTTTTTCAGTAAAGCGTTTTTTCCCAAGTTTGTTATTTACAGGACTGGGTTTCTGACCCCATGCCCAACCCTACTCCTTTACTCAAGATTGCGACAGGCAGTACACCAGAAGAATACAGGCGACCTATGCTCTCAACAGAAATAACAGGCTCAATCAAGTATAGTACTTCAAAATATTGTCCAAACACCGCTTTTAAAAATAAGTCACCAGTGTGAATAGTGATAGTATGCTACGAATTTATGAAAAGATGAATTGTGCTACGAAATCCGTTGTCTATTTTGATTCACTGTAAATGTTGAACGTTACACATTAGAAGTATATATTGTTACCTGAATGGTTGGAAATGAACATTGTTATAGACATCATTTGCTAATAAAATATGTATCTTTTAAGACATCAAATAATCAATTTGTTAGCTACGTGATAATTTCTTAGAAATGCATCAAATAAAAGTGAATTATCCCACAAAGCAGTTGAGTGTGAAAACAACATATGATTTTGGAATGTTGAGGAAGAACTGTAGCTCAGATAAATGATTTTGGCGGAATTTTGTTCTTTGAACTGGACGGTTTGGTCATGAACCTTTCATTGTTTTTCTGAACAATATCAGAACAAACTTTAGGGGAAAATGAATTAATCAAATTTCTCGACTTATAACTTTCAGCTTGTCCTGTCAGCCAAGATAATGATTAGTTATTGTTGATCTTTAACCCGTCATTATCTGCCCCTTTATTTTGATTTGACTCTTGGTCCTATATATAAACCTATGATTTTCCTGACTGGTTGATAGATTCAGTGTGTTTGTCGGTTATTAATTGACCTGTATTATTAGCTTCTAAAAATTCCCTGATGTTTTTAGTGTTCTCTCTATTCAGGATTTAAACATTTTCCCAGTAGAATGTGTATCCACAATCGTCCACATGCATTGATATAAGGGTGATAAAAGTTTGAATAATAAAATGTCTTTTAATTGTCATCCTTAGTTAGTTAGTTGTTCAAATATGCTTCAGAATAATTCAAAACGAATTGAAATCTAGCAAAGTAACTAATAAACTTTTAATATAAATTATATAATGAAATTTTATTTACTTTCAATGTTAGAGGGGAACTATATATGTAACTTGATTATTAGTTGATTGTTGTTGCATTCATGAGATAAGACTTTAAGTTTTGTATGTTTCGTCAATTCATTGAAATACAATTAGAACTTAAATAAATTAGAATCTACCCTGTCATGTGAATATCATTGAATAGATAATTAACATATGGTTCAATTTAATGCTAGTTTTACTTAGTTGGACTTCATAATTTAACCTACGATCAATTTAGAGTAAATCTATGGGAATTAATGTACTAATACATAGTTTCTTTTTTATTTACTTTTGATATCAAATAAATCTATGTTTGTAAGTTATTTCCTTCCATTTGATTCATATTGTATATATCCTTGTGTTTGTTTATGAGTAAATTTTAGTTATTCAATAGGATGATTAAATTAGTATGTGGCATTTCGAGTCATTCAAATTCTTATTCTTAATCCATTGATAAATTCAACATACTAGTCTATACAGATTAATAAATTATTATTATTTTTAAACGATAGATAGTTATGTCACTGTATTTTTCAAGACGTTCTTAAAGAGAAGTGAACTTACTGAAGTGAAATAAAAACATTTGTCCACAATTGATTGATCACTGGGTGGTAATCAATGTCATGTGTATTAGGTTCTTCTTAGCGTAGATAGAATGTTATCAACCAAGTTACAGTATGGCCACTAGTCTAGGTGACTCGACATTGCGTGCACTATGTTGAGATAAGATGGTGGTTGGAGGTAGTTAACAGGAAATTCTGAACCCGGGTTTCGTGCTATTTGGCACTCATCATCAAGATATGCTTGTAATCTTGTTGGACCAGTTTCCTCAAGATTACGGATATACCTTGATGACGAGTGCCAAATATCACGAAACCCGGGTCCAGGGTTACCTGTTAACTACCTCCAACCATTATCTTAAAAATATTTTGTATCTGATGCAAATGTTGATGTTTTATGAGTGTATACTGCTAACAATGATTCATGTAATGATGACCATATAATGAAGGTCATTTCGAGCTTTCGTTAATAGTTGTATGATTAGATTTTAATAAATTTTCAATTGGCTATTCAAAAAAAAGGTTCATTTTAGCGAAATAATTGATTCTTGTTACTTTGTTAAGTTTTTTTATTTTTAAATTGTACATTGGGTGTAATACAAAACTATTTGCATGACAAGCCTAATGGTATTATTCTTTTCACTAATATTTTCACTGTGAACGGATTTTATTGGTCAGAATTAAAAAGGTAGAAAGTCGTAGGGATTTTTGTATTATCTGATTATAGAATATTAAAGATTCCCATTGTGAAAATTAGAACAACACATATAAGCGAACAATTGTTTTCAATTAGATCGTCATCTACCAACTTGGTACATAAAGGGTCAGAGAAAAACTATTCGCAGTTCTATACTAGCGCATCTTATTGATAGCGGTCATGCAGTAAAGAAATCGAAATCATTTCGAGTTATCTATCGTATACCTCCATCATTTCCCGACGGAGTCCGTTCCTGTCTCCTATATATAACTGAAGCCATTGGAATTCGTACATATAACCCCAATCTATGTGTACAGAAGAAATACGTGACTCCCCTATCCCTTCCATGGCCAGTTATAACTTAACTAACAATTTTTTATTTTTATTTTTATTTTAAATTTTATTATTATCATTATTTATTTTATTCTATCTGTGTTATTGTTAACCTTATTTCCACATCCATTATTTGTTTGTCATTATCCGCCTCTTTGTATTCTTCACTATCTAATTATTTACACACATCTTATTACGTAATGATTTTTAAGGTTTTGTGATTACTATTCCTAGTCTATTTACCCATGTTTGTTTGACCTTCTATTCCCAACGTTTAACTATTGAGAAGAGTTTTGTTATTGTAGTTTATTATTCTTACCACTATCTGTTCACTTGTCTTCGTACTATCAACTTGTACTTTTACCTATTTTATGTGTGGTGACTTATTCTATTTCATTGTGATGATTGACCCATATTGCCTTGATTGGTTTAAAATTGTCGTATAAATATTCATGTATATTAGAGTAAAGCCTGATGACGATCTAATTGAAAACAATTGTTCGCTTATATGTGTTGTTCTAATTATCTGATTATATCATAAGTTCTGTGTCAAACTAGTATTTTCAGTTGCCTATAGAGTTTTAGAAAAAGTGTTCTGTATAACGATATACATGTTTCGTTGGTTCTCGTCAGCTGCTTACAACCTGTGATATTTAAAATCATAATTAATGGGTTAAAATTACTTACATAAAAGAGCTTGATTGGAAGTTATATTAAAGACATATTCATATAGTATAACAAGGGTGTAAATAAATTTAATAGACTGAATATTGTAAATATATACCTTATGTGATGAAAGAACATTGTGACAACAGTTCAAACGGTTAGAAACAAATAAACCTTGATAGGAATAAAATGAGTAGAGTTCAGTTGATAAAATAAAATAAGATAGTTGGAATAAAACTCAATGGTGTAATAAATGCAAGAAAGAGTTTAAAGAAAAAGAAAAAAATTATTAAGATATAACGAAGGAATATTAATCACCAAGGCAAGGAAAGATTATTAACCATCTCCTTTTGAACACATAAATCAGGCTTTTGGCGCCTGATAGCAACTGCTTCAGCAAATTTCAGAAGACTGGAGTTTGGCTGCATGTTTGTTAACATAATTAACGGAAACTAGAAAGGAAATGTTGAATGTTATTTATCGTGATATTATTAAATCACAATATTCTTTGATATGTATTACGTTATTTCTTTTAAGTAAACATTTTATTTGTGGGTGAAACACATGGATCGACAAGACTATAATTTATGGACGAATTAATCATGTATAAAATAACAGGTCTCGGATTTTGGGGCGAAATGCACTCATCCATTTAGCTAAATAGAATTTTGGCACTATAGCGGATGTCAGTTCGTGATGAAAGCCCTAAATCTAATTCCTAACCCTAATCATCAACTGTAAATCATAACTCTAATTACTCACACTGGTTTATAACCCTTATTTGGTCCTAGTTATTAGCTGAACACTCTCAAGGTCACTTTAGCGTTGCTGGAAGGTCATTCATAAATTATAGTCTCACTATTTGTTGGTTAATTCCATGAAGACGTTTAATGGAAAATACATGTACGATACGAATTCATGATAAACTGAAAATAAATATATAGAAATGAATTGATGGTAAATCATGTAGCACCGTATTACTTAACATTATCTCTTATAATTTTATGATTTTTGTTACTCTTACATTTTGAAACAATATTATAATGTTGAGATTATGCATTTGTTTGATATATAACAGTCAATTAACGTTTTAAATAGTTTGTGCCCAAATCATAGCAAAAATATGAAAATCAATAATTCTGTTCCTTCACTAGAGGCGAATCGGGGGCAGAAGATTTAAAGAGAAGATGGAAGATGAAGCAGATGGCTGTAAAGGAAGAAGAGTATGAAGAAAGAAAAAAAAAGAAAAGAAATAGATTAC